TAGCGAAATTGTACAGTAATCATGAACAGATGCTCTCTGGTTAAGTAATATATTTGAGAATATATATATGAAAACTAATTCAAAAATGTGCCTGTAGTATATAACTGGCATTCATGTAACACTTTGTCACTGTACATTAAAAAAATGTTTGCTGTAAGCTGTGATTTTATGCTTTATTCTTAGCCTTCCGACCAGTGATTGCCACGGGTCGCGTAGCGCACAGCGTACGGGAATCATTCACAATCCCCATATGCTAGGCCTACTTCTCTTTAAAAAATGTCCAAGTTTTACCATCGCTATATTTTACTCCCTTTGATGTATATTGGCTTATTACCTCTCCGACATAAATGTTGGAACATTTGTCAGTGATTTGGTAAAAGAAATTTCACTTCTAAAAATACAGACACTGCAATTCTGATGTCGTTTACAACAGACATTCAGCGATTTACACTCGCTTCGGCCATCTTTACAGTGTATTAACTCGAGCGTTCAAAACAATAACAAACTCAATAATACCGCATACAGATCACGTGACTGATAGGACGCAAAGTGTCAATTTCCAGCTGATCACACAGTTTACTGTTCAGTCAAGTAGAACGTGAGCGTCCAATCAGCGCTAAAGCCTGGCAGTTCCACTTAGTTGGTTTTCCGATGTTTTATTTGCTAGGCTGCTTGCATGAGGTTTGAGGCTAGAAATATGTGATGATATCTCGTGAAAAAAGCAAGAATTCTTGATGGGCGGATATGTATGTTTGACGCTGGGCGCAAGGCATTAAATTTTGCTTTAGGCTGGGCGGTAGACTTTTAGGCAGGGCGGCCCCGCCCGGCTCCGCCCTGCACAATTACATCCCTGTATTTCATATTTCAAAAACACCTAAACAACACATGCTTTTTGCAAAATTACATATGGAAAGCAATATCAATATATAAATGTATACAAATTATGCATATTTTCATAAGGAAAAAAAAATAAAGAATATTAAAACATAACATGAACAACTAAAAAAGGTTATCCACTAATGTTAGATTGGATATTACTACCATATGCAACAATCATCTCCAGTCAGATTGGTAGGTAGTAAGGATCTTCTAGTAGTAGGTATAATATTGTATCAGGTAGACTGCTATTCTTCAATATTACAATATTCAAAAGTGAGACTTTTATTACTCTTTAATAGTACAGTATTTAAAAGTGAGAATTTAATTACTATGATGGAGTTTACAACATATCTCCCCTCTCCCAATTTTGCAAAAGGCTTCTCCAACACTAGCCCCTATAGAGACCAAATACTATCCTCCCCTACTGTAAAAGCCCTTTTTAATATTTTGATTTAAGAAAAATGACTGAAGTTGTAACTTGCAAGTTGGCCTTCTCGCGTGTGCATTTTCTGAATAAAGTGAAAAAAAATAATAATACATACCGTCTTGTGCTCTCCCAACTGAACATGGTATAATTTTGTTTAACAAAAATAGACCTATTGAATAGGATGAATAGTATTATTATACAAATTTAGATATTAGTGTGGATGACAGCACCCTATAAACTAAAAATGGATTAAGATATTAGTGTGGATGGTAGCATTCTACAAACTAGAGTACAAAAAATACTGTGAATAATTACGATGATATTATTGAAAAAGAGAGATATAAGTATTTGCTCCATCAGGACTTGAACCCGAGACCTTCGACATCTGATGCCGATGCTCTACCCACTGAGCTATGGTAGCATTCAATAAATCTCAAATAGATTTAGATATTAGTGTGGATGATAACATTATATACTACACATGGATCAAGATATTAGTGTGGTTGGAATCATTCTATAAACTACGAATGGATCAAGATGTGGATGGTTGCATTCTATAAAATACAAAATGAATTGAGATATTAGTGTTGATGATAGCGTTCTTTTCATAAACTACAAGTAGATTTACATATATTATTAGTGTGGATGACAGCACCCTATAAACTGAAGATGGATTAAGATATTAGTATGGATGGTAGCATTCTATAAACTACAGTAAAAAAAAAACTATGAATAATTATGATGGTATTAATGAAAAAGAGATTAATAAATATTTGCTCCATCAATATAGAGATCAGTGTAGATGATAGGATTATATAAACTATGAATGAAATAACATCAGTGTGAATCATTTTACAAAGTACAAAAAAGACTGAATAATTATGACGAATTTTGTTACTGAAAAATAGGGAAATAAATATTTGCTCCATCGGGACTTGAACCTGAGACCACTAAAATGCAGTTGTGAAT